AGCTTGCACCCACACAGAGACACAGAGTATAAAGTACTGTGTGTGATAGTTTTCAGAGGCTTGACAGAATAGTATATAATGCCCTATTTCACTGAATTATGTTCATCTTGATCCACAATTCCCAGTTTTCCATATTAATGAACTTAGGGTCATTTGAGATTGAGTCTTTCCATTAGGCTGTTTGTATAGTAATTTTAAAAAATACAAGGCTTATGCGTAAACTTTTTTTTTCTTTCTTGGACTATGGAAAATTTCTAAATCAGTTGGAAAAGGTCATTTCTTCATTTCTTTAGGAAATAGAAAATTGCTTTTCCCTAGAAGCTTTTTTCTCCATGTAAGTTAAAAATCCATTAGTAAATTAGGCTTAGCTGGGTTCATTCATTGATATTTAATCCTTGGAACTTCTCAAGGAAAATCAATGTGTGGCTTTCAGTTCATTAACATAATGCTAATACAACATGTAATGCCAACATAGCTGGAATCCTCACCCTTAGCTTTCTGTTTAGGCTGAGTGAGCACAAAGTACTGATCAATATTTTTCAGAGAGGAAAAATCCAAACCACTCAAGAGAGACAAGTGCAGAACTACTCTTAGGTTAAAATAATCTGTCTGCTTCTTCCTACAAGCTTGCCTGATAGGGTTTGATAAAGCAAGAAGGAAAGAGGCTAGAATCAATCTAATATGGGGATAAGGGGGTCACAAATTCTGCACATGTAAAGGCAACTATTGGCAGCAGTGGAACCCAACCCAAACAGCAAATTCAAGTCCAACTCTCAAGACATGGAGCTTGAAGAGGGATGTGCTCTGAACGAACCATTTATGTGGCTCTCTGGTTTATAGGATACAAATACAGAAAAATAAGTTCCCTGTTTGAGTTGGTGCTCAACTCTAAGATGTGCAGCTATTTTCCTCTACTTAAATAATATTTTAAATTGTGGTGATGTATGCATAATAGAACAGTTACCATCTCAACCACTTATAAGTATGCACTTCAATGATAGTAACTACCTTCACACTGATGTACATACAACTGTTGCCACCATTCACCTCTAAACTTTTTTTATCTTGCAAAACTGAAATCCTGTACCTATTAAACTACAACTCTATATTATCCTTCCACCAATCCCTGACAACCACCATTTTCCTTTATCTGTGGGTTTGAATATGAGCTACGTCATGTAGGTGGGAACTTACATGTTTGTCCTTTTTAACTGATTTGTTTTGGCCAGCATGTGCACAAGTTTAACTCATACTGTGGCATGGGTCAGAATGCCTCCTTTTTAAGGCTAAATAGTATTCTATTGTATGTACATAGCAAATGCTATTTACCCATTCATCCATTAATGGACATTTGGGCTGTTTCTATTATTTTTGCTATTGTCAATAAAACTGCTATGAATATGGGTATACAAATTTTTCTTTTTTAAAAAGATTTATTTATTTATTTTATTTGAAAGAGTTACACGAGAGAGAAGGAGAGGCAGAGAGAGAGAGAGAGAGAGAGGTCTTCCATCAGCTGGTTCACTCCCCAGCTGGCTGCAATGGCCAGAGCTGTGCCAACCCAAAGCCAGGAGCCAGGAGTTTCTTCTGGGTCTCCCATATGGGTGCAGGGGTCTAAGGACTTGGGCCATCTTCTACTGTCTTCCCAGGACATAGCAGAGAGCTGAATCGGAAGTGGAGCAGCCAGGACTCGAACCGGCGCCCACATGGGATGCTGGCACTGCAGGTGGTGGCCTTACCCACTACACCACAGCACCAGCCCCACAAATATTTCTTCAAGTACCTCTGTTTGATTATCTTATGTATATAACCATAAGTGGAATGGTTGGATCACATGGTTATTCTAGATTTAATTTTCTTTTTTCTGTTTTCCATAGTGGCTACACCATTTTACATTCCCACCAAAAGTGCACAAGAGTTCAAACATTTTCTTAGCCCTCTCAGTCCTTGCTATTTTCTGTTTTGCTTTTGTTTTTTTCATAGTAGACATTCTAAGGAGTATGAGGTGGTATCTCATTGTGTTTTAAAAAATATTTGTTTATTCATTTATTTTCACTTTATTTGAAAGTGTGTGTGTGGGAGAAAGAGAGAGAGAGAGAGAGAGAGAGAAATCTTCTACTTGTAGGTTCACTCTTCAAACACCCACAATAGCCAGCATTGGACCAGGCTGAAGCCAGGAGCCCAGAACTCAAACCATGTCTCCTGCATATGTAACAGAGATGGAAGTATTTGAACCATCATCTGTTGTCTTGCACAGAAGCTGCATTAGAAGTGGAGGAGCTGGGGCTTGAACCAGGCTCTCTGAAATGGGATGTGGGTATCCCAAACAACTGTGCAATGACTGACCCTCATTGCGGTTTTAATTTGCATTTTCCTAATGTTTAGTGGTGAGTGAGCCTAAGTGCTCCCATCCACTGATTCACTCCTCAGATACCTGCAACCAATAGCCCCAAAGCCTAATACGGGAGCCAGAAACTCAATGTAGGCCTCCCACATGGGTGGCAGGAACTCAACTACTTGAGCCATCATTGCTTCCTCCTGGGGTCTACACTAGCAGGAAGCTGGAGTCAGGAGCTTGATCTAAGTCAAACCCAGGCACTCCAACAAGGGATACAGGCCTTGTGATTGATGTCTTAATTGCTAGGCCAAAGGTCTGCATCTGCCCATATTTTCATTGGGTGTTGGTTTCTGTGTTGAGTTTTTACCTTCTTGTTTAAATGGGTGGCATTCTGTATGATTCTTGTTTTGTCTTCATTCCTTTTTTGTTGAAGGCATTGAAGCTTGCTGTTTGCCTCGATATGTTTTGCAGCAGCAGTGCCTTTAGATTGTGTTCTGAGCCCTAGTGAGTGACAGGAGCCCAGAGACTCCTGAAAGAAGGGAGGGTGAGTAGGGTTTGTGGAGCGGGTGTGTGCCCACTTTCATTATTACCTGGCCTACCCATTGGGACATCCACATAATATGGCATTTGCTATTTATCCCTGCTACGAAAAATCTCCAATACACTTCTTGTAGGGTTAGGTTTGGTTTTAATTACCTCCCTCAGCTCCACTGTGTTTGAAAACAAGACCTGCCACTGGGTGCTTTGGATCACTTTACCAGAAGCTGGGGGAGTAGTATTGCTCTATGGACTTTGATAAATGATTGTGGAATGCCCTCTATGTGTCAGGCACAGTCTCGATCTCCATGGGACTGCTCACAGCTGGCTGACTGAGGAGAAGAATGTGTGACCTGGGAAATGATCGAGTGAGGGTGCATGGGTCTGGAACATGACCCTGGCCTCATGAGCCTGATGCTGTAGCCCCCTGCACCTGCCCAGGCACAGGTCTCTCCTTTGGGGCCAGTGTATTCCTCCTGGGCCCAGCCTCCTAGTGATCACACAGGCAGTTAGTTAGTCAAGGGCAGAGTCACCCCAAACACTGACTGACACCATTTTCTCTTTCCAGTAGCTCCCCAAAGCCTTTCTCTCGCCCATACCCCACAACCTTCCCTTTCTTCCTGCTTTCCAAATCTCACACACCATCTGCCTGACTAGTGTTCTCATCACCTTTGCTTGCTTATCTCCTCTTCAGCAGGAAAGTGCTTCTCAGGCTGACAGCCTAATCTCTCTGCTGATCCTGTGTTTCTGAATTCATCACCCTACCCCTCAGGCGGGTGCCCCACTGCCACCTCCCTGAGATGCTGCCCAGGATGAGCAGAAGAGGAGAGAAGGAGATTGTACCAACAAAAAAAAAAAAAAAAAAAAAAAAAAAAAAAAAAAAAAAAGAGGCATTGGGTGGGGAGGAGAGATCCAGGGCAGGGCAGTGAGGCTGTGGATGCTTGTGGGGCCTGTGGTTCTGCCTCTGTTCTGAGATCTGCTCTTTCTCCTCCCCAGTTAACAACTGGTGCAAGGTCACCTGCAGAGTAATTCTGTATTACTATTGAGATAGGAGCTATAAATTGTATCCTTCTTGTATTTTTTTTATGTTAGTTACTTTGTATAATTCTAATTTTTTAAAATTTCATTTTGTTTGAAAGGCAGAGTGAGAGTGAGAGATTTCTTGTCTACTTGTTCATTTCTCACATGCCTGTGACTGCTGGGGCTGGGCCAGGCTACAGCTAGGAGCTTGAAACTCAATCCAAGTTTCCTATGCGAGTGGTAGGGGCCTGGGTACTGCTGCTTCCCAGGGTGCACTTAGCAGGAAGCTGGAATCAGGAGTGGAGGTGAAACTCAAAACTAGACGCTCAGATATAGGGTGTGGGTGTCTCAGGCTGATCCTAGCCACTCTTCCAAACACCTGCCTCTTATTTGCTTTTTAATTGGGAGAAGTTGGGACCTGTTGTCGGAGAAGAGGGGAGGAGACTCAGTTACTAAGAAAGGCTTTTCAAACACAGACTACTCCAAAGTGAGGGCTTTGGAATACAAGGTTGTAACCATGGAATTTCTCTAAATGAACACTTTTCATTTCTGTTCTACCTCAAATAATACTCTCTCCATCCCCACAGTCACCCTACATTTGGGAGGATGTGCTCTGTGTCACAGACCACCATCAGGAAAACCCTGGGCTTGACCCTTTAATGTTTCCAGAACATTCTCTGTTTATTTTGTCTATAACATGTATGCACAAATTCTTCTATGCCATCTTCCCTTCCATAGCTGGCAGATGGAGCAGACCTGTGTTTTTGGCTCATTTTTCTCTGCTGTATGATAAAATAAGTGTGCTCTAACACCATATTGAAGTGCTGAGGAGTGCACTTTGGGGAAATGAAACTCAGGTAACGTGTCCACTCTCTGGAAAGGGAGAATTATGATAAAGTGCTAGAGTTTTGTCACTGTTACCAAACTGGCATTACTTGGAAGGAAAGAAATTGTCATTATCACAGCTGTTCTCTTCTCGTTCTTCTATGCCCAGCCCCAACATATATCAGGTAATAAAATACATGCCTGGAACAAATGGAAAGAAACTTGTTGAGGGGTGGAGTATGAAGCTGACAAAATGATAAAATTGCTTCAAGGCTTTTGTTATCTTTTTTTCTAGGACTGATACCTGTCACTTGTCCTAATTCAATTCTTTGAACTACAAAAATTTCAGTTTGTGAGGACGTGGATCTTGTAGGTGTTTTTTCTGGATGGTCCACTGGAAGTGTAAGCATTGCTTTTTTTTCTGAAGATTTTCCATTTTGGAGGGGGGGAAGAGAATGATTATCAGTTGATCCTCTGTTCACTGTTTCACTTTGCAAGTGGTTGCAATGGCTGAGGTTAGGCCAGGCTGAAGCCGGAACCCAGACCCAGATCCGAGTTTCCCATGTGAGTACAGGGGTCCAAGTGCTTGGGCCACTTTCTGCTGCTCTCAGAGGCACATCAGTAGGGAGCTGGATCCGAAGCCGAACAGCCAGGATGCAAACCAGTGCTCTGATAGGGGATGCCAGCGTCATAGGTGGCAGCTTAGCTCACTGTACTACAATGCCAGTTCCAGCACTGGTTTTTGAACATGGGTGTTTTAGGAATTTTTTGCTGAGTTTTTTTGTGACTGTGTACATCCCATTCATGAGCCGCAGGATACTGCAGCTGTGGGGAAGGGACTTGAAAGACCGAGTGCATCAATGCCATTCTCAGCAAACAGTGCTCCCACTAGCTGAAAGGGGAGAGTCCTAATTTTTGCTCAGCTTCATTCTTGGAAAGAGGCCATAATAAAACCATCTTTGGCCAGAGGAAAAGTTGTAAAGTACATAGAACATTTTCAAGTATTTAATGCATGGAGTTTTGCTGTTTCTTATAGTTTTTGAAAAGGATTTGTTTATTTATTTATTTGAGAGGGAAAGCAACAGAGGGAGAGAGAGAGGGAGAGAAAGAGACAGAGGTTTTTCTACCTGTTTATGCAGTCCCCAAATGGCTGCAATAACTGGGGCTCACCTGGGCCAAAGCCAGGAGCTCAGAACTCTTTCTGGATCTTGCACATGGGTAGCAGGGCCCCAAGAACTTGAGCCATCTCCCACTGCCTTTGCAGGCACGTTAGTAGGAAGCTGGATGGGAAGCAGAGAAGCAGAGCATCTAGGACTTGAACACATCACAAGCATCTGCTTAATCCACTGTGCTACAATATCAGCCTCTGGCTGTTTCTTATAAAATTAAACCTATACCAGCCTCATGACTCCCCATATCCACTCATAGGTATTAACTCACGATAAACAAAAATATAGGAGGCAGTTAAAACACTGGTCGGCATGCCTGCATCCCATATCAGAGTGCCTAAAGCCTGAGATGCTAGCTTCCTGCTAATGCACAGCTTGAGGGGCAGCAGGTGATTATCAAGTACTCGGGTCCCTGCCTCTCATGTGGGAAACTTAGATTGAGTTCCTGGCGCTTGGCTTCTGCTTAACTTACTGGTAGGGGCTGGCACTGTGGTGTAGTGGGTAAAGCCTCTGCCTGCAGTGCCAGCATCCCATATGGGCACCCGTTTGGGTCTTGGCTGCTCCACTTCTGATCCAGCTCTCTGCTATGGCCTGGGAAAGCAGTGGAAGATGGCCTAAGTCCTTGGGCCCCTGCACCCATGTGGGAGACCTGGAGGAAGCTCCTGGCTCCTGGTGCAGCTCCAGCCATTGCAGTTATCTGGGGAGTTAACCAGTAGATGGAAGATTCTCTCTCTGTCTGTCTCTGCCTCTCTGTAACTCTGCCTTTCAAATAAATAAATAAACCTTAAAATAAAAAACTTACTGCTAGCTGTTGCAGGTATTTGGGGAGTGAACAAATGAATGGAAGATCTCTCTCTCTTGCTCTCTCTTCCCTCTGTCTCTTTGCCTTCCAAATACACAAACAAAATTAAAATTGAGAAACAGAAAAATTAAAAAACAGTATGTCCACAAAATTTCTTTTCTAAGAATGTCCATAATAGCTTTATTCTTAATTACTTAAGATAGGGAATGTCCAAATGACCATCAACAGGAGAATGGATAAAGAAATCATGATATGTTTCCGTGATGGAATGCTTCGCAACAATAAAAGAAATGTACTATGGACAATAATATGGATGACTCATGACAAAAATCAAGTGTGTGTGTGAAAGAAGTCAGACACAAAAGTATATATTATTAGAATTCCATTTAGGCAAAGTCCTAAAATATACAAAACTAATCAGTGATAATAGGAAGAGTGTTTGCCTGTGGGAGGCAGGGGAAGGGACATACTGGGATGCAACGTGAAGGAGCTGTTCCAGATGATGGAGCTGTCCCATATCTCAATGGAAGATGGATCACTTGAGTATTTCTCAAGACTCATCAAAGCCCTTTGGACTCAAAATGTCAGGTTCTGCACGTCACAGACTATGAATTTTACCTCAAAAAAGGGAACTATAAACAAATATTTCTTTAAACCATTATTAGCAAATGTGGGTACTGCATCCACAATGGGAGAACGCTGTACGAATTCCTGGTGCTGTCTCTGTGATCCTCAAACCTGGCTGTGTGTCAGGCTTATCTATGGAGCTAGTGTTCTGCCAGAGGCTGGGGCTGACAACTGGGATTCTGACTCCAGAGCAAACTCCTGTTTGCACCAGAATTCTGGGTTTCAGAGGAACCTCCATGGCTCATGAAAGTGTACCCAGGAGTGGAAGAAATTCTAAGTTTAGGTAATAGTACACATTTTTTTAAAAGGCTGCTAAGAAATCTGAACAAAGTCAATCTGACTTTTAAATTTTTTAAATACGTATTTTTATTTTATTTGAAAAGCAGAGAGACAAGTGGAGAGAGATTTCCCATCTACAGGTTCACTCCAAAATACCTGCAACAGCCAGGGCTGGGCCAGGTAGAAGCCCAGAGCCCAGAACTCCACCTGCATCTCCTACATGGGTGGCAGGGGCGCAGCTGTTTGAGCTGTCATATTACCTTCTGTTCCCAGAGCGCGCATTATCAGGAAGCGGGAATCAGAAGTGGAGCTGGAAGATGCAGGTGTGCCAAGAAGCTTCTTGACTGCTGTGTCAGATGCCCACATCACATCTGAAATTCTTAAACTGTGGTGTTGGTGAATGAAAAGAAAGTATTTTTATTCAAACTCATGCATATCTTTGTAAAAGAAATTGGTGTGAAGTAAAGAAGGAAGAGAGTAACTAACACAGTGAGAATCCAGGACATGCCAGGGATAGTGTTAAGCAGTTGATGTAGATAATTTCACTTAAATTCTCTAAGAAGCACACATATCATTCATTATCCAGTTCCACTGCAATGGCCATAGTCCAGGGCCATAGCTATTGTCAATCTTGGCTTCATGTTAGCAAACCCAGCCATCTGGCAAATCTCTTAATAGACCAGGCTATCGCAGGGCCCTGGGCTTTGCAATGTGTGTGATGCTTTCTCCCCTAATCTGCTGGATGTATTTCTATTCATCTTTGAGGATCCAGCATATGCATACCATATTATACGCAGATCTTCCTGCTCCTTGCCTTACTCTGTTGGAGGAAACTCATTGCTGTTCAAGCACAAACAGCTACTTCCTAGGATTCATACCAAAGTGTGATTTTGAATTCTCTTAGCTGGAATGAATGAATTCGATACACTCATTGGAAACTTATTTAACACTAAATCTACTTGAATGGGGGAGAACACTACAAATAAGTCTTTTGACAGTTGAATGTAAGTTTTCACTCAGCTACATTCTGTTTTTAGTATCACCTGTATCATATGGCATTGTAGTTTTTAATGTGTACTGCTCTCTTTCCTGCTAGAGAGATCCTTGAAAATAGGATTATGTCTTATTCATCTTTGTGAGCCCAGAACCTAGCACAAAACTTGGTGCTTATTCAGTACCCATTCAATTATCATTGAGTGAGTGAATGAATGAAGAGATCACCTTTCTTCTAAAATTTGGCATGCACCCGGATAAACAGTGAATTTTCAGTAACTGTGCAGTGACCTCAAGATAAAATGCACACTCTCAAAATGGATTTAGAGATATCATACTAATTATCATCTGGTGTCTCCCAGCTCTAACTCCAACTAATCTTGTGGCTAATAATTACTAAATTAAATCTCTCAGTACAGAAGGATCATTTCAACTCCTTGACTACCGTACACTGAAGATTTTCCTCCATGCCCTTGGTTAAATTGCTGTTTCCCCTTTGGAATGATGAGAACAGTGTGTGATGTTGTTTGAGGAGCTTTCTGTAGGTATTCGTTCCCACCATGTTAGCTGTGTGGCTTTGGTTAAATTGATTTGCACCCTCTGTGCTTTTTTTTTTTTTTTAAGATTTTATTTATTATTTGACAGGTAGAGTTACAGACAGTGAGAGAGAGAGAGAGAGAGAGAGAGAGACAGAGAGAAAGGTCTTCCCTCCATTGGTTCACTCCCCAAATGGCCGCAACGGCCGGAGCTACGCTGATCCGAAGCCAGGAGCCAGGTGCTTCTCCTGGTCTCCCATGCGGGTACAGGGGCCTAAGCACTTGCGCCATCCTCCACTGCTTTCCCAGGCCACAGCAGAGAGCTGGACTGGAAGAGGAGCAACCAAGACTAGAACCAGCGCCCATAGGGGATTCTGGCACCTCAGGCAGAGGATTAACCAAGTGCACCACGGCACCGGTCCCTCTGTGCTTTTTTTAAACTTATAAAATGAAATAATATCTGAGCTAACACATACAGATTTCTCTGGAAGCTTAAAAAAGTTGTATGATGATGATGATGATGATGATGATGAAGCTTAAGGTTCAAGTTCTCTTTGAAGTTAGCCTACATTTTTTTTCCCACTACTATGTAACTTAATCTCTGAACCACTACCTGTAACACTTCAACATATGCTATCATTCTTATTAAACTGTTCAACTTGTGTATGGTCTTTCTCCTCTACTGCATTGGGAGCCTAATGCAAGGAGGAAAGCAGGGGAGTGTGTCGCTTTTCTTTTTATGAAAGCATAGAAAGATTACTTAGCAAAGAATGATCGATAGGAAATTGTATAAATGTTAAATTGTCTTACATAAGGAGGATGGACAATAGACTTAGGACCAAAGAATTTTACAACAGTAAGTCTTAAGGATCATTCAATATAACCTTCTCTCTTTAAGAAAATGTTTTGTGTATGCTGTATGTTTATCCTAAGATTACAGCAAAGAACATTAGCCAAGTATTTTTTGACAACATTCAAGCACTATGCCTAGTAATT